CCCAACTCACCCATTTGTTCGTCCGCCATGTTAGTATTACCGAGTGTTGTTGGTAATTTAAAATAACATTTTATTATAGTCGCCAGTGATATAACATTTATACCAAATTTCATTCAAATCCGTCCAGTGATTGTGGCGTTCAATTATGCGGACGCACAGACTAACATTATATGCATTACTTTCATGTACATCGTGCAAAGAACGGATAATCTTGATCGAATGTGTCGATAGACCGGCTGCGTAGAGGGAGCGCGGTGTTTCGATTAAGTGCCTTAGTGACGTCAAATTACGGTGCTAAGGTCTAGTTCTGATTACACGACGAACTTTTCATGATTAGCATGGAAAGGTAACTGCTTCATCTTGAGCCTCTAACCTTAGAGCAAAATCAGGCGCGTGGCAAGAAATTTCGCAAAGAACGAATCCATCTTACTTTAATCCCATCTCATTGGTATGAACACGCTTCGATATTTTTTCCCAGATACAACCATTATGAAGTGTTTTGAGAGGTTAAGCCCTTTAAACAAAGGTACAATAGCTTCTAAATGTGAGATCGAAACAAATCATATTTCAGTGGAAGGCAGACGGAAGTTATTTAAAGCAAATTCGAAAGAAATACTTATTCAAATGCGGATATATTAAAAACATCTAGGAGCGTTTTTAATTCTGGTGCGTGTATTCAAAACTAATTAACTTCACGGAACAGAGTCCTTTTTTCGAAACCAATATTATGTTTACTTTGTCGAACTTCGCGCATTTTCTGGGAACCGATAGTTCTTTGTTCACAAGAGCTAAAATAATCTATTCCACGCACTTTGAAATATGCCCCTAAGATCCTTCCATCAGCGCGCAACGTCTTCTACTTTCAGACTCTGGAATAAAAATTTTTGTGCATAAATTTCGTCTCCCTCTGCTCCCTATATACCCCACGCAGATATTTCCTTGATTTTATAATTTTAGTAATAGTGTAGAACACAAATTGTCGGACTTTCTCGTAATGCAATTTCCTCCACCATTATGTGTACCAAAAATCCTACAGGTAATTATAAATCATGTAAAGACGTCGACTACCTGAATCCTTTTACACGAAACCTCATTGTTTCACCGACATATTCTGTGTTGTTAAGGTGTGGGACGGAACATTAAATAGCTCTGTTAGATTTGTAAGGCCCTAATGCCATTTTGTTTGAACAAAGTAGCATATTTTTCGAAAGTCTTTTGTCTTCTTACAAAGGCTTAGTTTTGTACCGACCACAGAAGTTTATGATACAATCGTCTTTTTGATATTTATTATTTTTTGATATGTGGTTTATGCAACGAAGCTCCCAGTAGCTCAGACTGCCTGCCGTCAAATGATTGGATAATTACTGAATAATGACTTGGAAAGCAAACGAAAGGAAGCCGTCGAGCCTGATTTGAGGTATTTTCGTGACAATTGATTAGAGTGGCCGGAATAAGCCATAGAAAACTTCAGTCAGTTAGCCGATCTCCGGACCAAGATTTGAACCTGGTACCTCCGAAATAATAAGTAGGAGTTCACTATACTTGGCGGTGACGTTAATTTTGTTCTAATATTGATGATATTATATAAACCTTTATCGATATTCTAAGAATAAAAAACGTGATTTAAATAGACGAACTATACTTTAAATGTCTTATATTAGACCATTGAAAAATATGGAAATATTCTTAAAATAAAAAAATAAAAAATTGCAATATTATTAAGAGACGAAAATAAATTGCCATAGTACGACCGATTTTACATAACAAATGACATTAGAAAGTAATGCAAAAATTATTTTTTATTTAGTGTTCTGTCTGACGACAGGTCGATATGAACAGGATCCTTCCATCCTTTTCTCAGACTGGGACCTGTTCATATACGTTCTTGGCAGATGATCCAGAAGTGGTTTGCCATTGCCTCTTCTGTGTGTGAATGGAGTAATTGTTGGGATGCCACGGAGGAAAACTCTGTGTTGCCTAGACCATGGCCTTGCCCAACACAAGTTATAAATTCTGGCACCGCCGGGAATCGAACCCGAGACCCCAGGATTACAAGGCCAGCGTTCTAACCGCTAGTTCACCGTGCCCATCAACGCAAAAATACGCATGGATTAAAGAAAGCGAAGCGTAGACATTTATTGTTGGCTGTACATTCTTATCTCATTATCGATGGAAACTGTAACTCATATTTTTTCGTAAAGAATTGCTAAATATCTCTTCTAAATTTTAAATGTGTATGCATTGAACAGATATTCTCTTACATCAGTGAGTATAATTCAGCTCTCTTTGTGTCTTATAGTTTCTTGATAAAATACCTACTGAGATCCTGGCACGAACTGTGGTGTATGGACAGGTACGGTCTGTGGCAGACGGTTTTCACTCGGGCTGAGAATTTGAAACGATTTGTTCTAGTTTCCAGGTTCGCGTTTCTAGACTTTGCTAACGGTTTCCTGAAGAAGCCGTGGTTACGTCACTGGAGTGGCAGCTCGTTAGCGGCTGCTGGCGCTTGTTAATTGAATTCGGTTTGTTACATGGTAGGGTGGTTGGGAATGCGGGTTCCTTTTCTTCTGACGAAATACCAGACTGTCTGATAATTTAATGCAATGGAGGCGTTTCTCAGTGCAGACTCTTACTGTAATTGAGCCTAGTGAGTAGAAGGTTGAAATTCTCGGAACACGTAGAACACGGAAGAGGAGGAATTCAAAAGAAGACAGAACTTATGCAATCCTGGCGGAGATGCGAGAATAATATTAAAATGGATATAAGATAGGCAGGAGATTTCTTAAGTAACTGAATAAATATAAACTAATCAAGGTATTTGTATCATGGAACTAGTCCGTCAACAGCTGAATAAATATAAACTAACTATTTGTATCATGGAACTAGTCCGTCAATTAATTTGGTTTGATTCGCTTTTAGTAAGTGTTTTGACTGAAGATTTATGAGACCAAAGAATAATTTTAGTTTCACTCGTTATGACATGATATTGGAGTCTTGGCATTGCTTCGAACGAAACCTGATAAACGAGTTAACACGATAACAGTAAAAGAAGTGACAAGAAGACTGGTGTAGAGACTTGTTTTCGAGAAATGCCTAATTCGAATCTTGCTTGGGTTATCGGCTATTTTACTCATTTGCTCTGGGACGATAGTTATGTTGAATTAGATAATGATTACCTCCTTCCAAATTCTTACATACTCACTGTTAAATACAATAATTTTTAATCTAATCCGACTTTGATTAACATCTGCATTTGAAGGAACGTTGTTAAAATAATAACCTAACTTAGGAAACCAACGCTAACCTGAAGACTGAATAACCTGTCCTGGTTGAGATTCGAACTGGATGCCACTCAAATGCTAGCATGACGCACTTTATTTGTATTCGGGAGGTAAAAGGTTCCAATATCAAACTGTAATGCAGGCACAGTGATGTGGTTGATTAGTACGACTGACGATGGAGTTTAAAACATGTATTAATCTTACGTCACATGCTAGTATCACTGAGTAAATAATGACTATTAAATAATGTTGAAGAAAGCGATTGTGGCCTATTTTAAGACACTATTCCAGCACGTAACGTGTCGAAATTATAAAAATTACACAACATTTCTATTTGGGAAGTAGGTATCGGGACGGAACTTCAGAACACAAGAATGCTAACGAGTCTAGTGATATCAAATTTTAACGCAGAGTGATTCATAAAATTGTTTCGTGTTCCTATGTATATGAAACTGAATTCTGATTATGTAATCGTAGAGTTTGGCTGAGAAAATCATAAATGATTGAATCTCTTCTGGGATCGTGAAGACCACACGATAAATCGACTAGGATTTGAGGTTTTCACGGTATTGAGTCCGAAAATAGCCGACTTCTGGGTTGTAGCGCCGTGTAGTCTGGTAGAAGTTTACCAACGTTTCAGAGGACCTTGCTGCCTCCATCATCAGGGCGAACACCGTGGCAGGCAGTATGGACATCTTAAACGTCGATAAACATCTACAAGGCTACACGACACTACAACCCAGAAGACAGCTCTAGTCGATAAATTGTCTGTCTTAGAAAGCTACTTAACTGATGGACATAATTATACCGTTACAAGTTGAAGTACTGTGTATGTGACAGACATGAAGATGGCTGCCTTCTGGAATGTTGTGCTGTGTCGTCTGGTAGAGATATTGCCTGCCGAACTATCCAGCACCTAGGAAAATAGCCATCTTCTTGAAGTAATGTATTAACAGCTGAAATGATAAGCATATATAGTACGATTTATTTACGGGGGAAATGAGACTTGTATCTGACAGTGGTGAATGTCTTGATTGTGATCGTCTGAGTAATGTATTTCCTAGTCTTTTAGGTGGGTGGCCACCATTTCGGAGGAAACCATTAGAGTACGTTCCTCCTAAAGGTTCGTAAAAATATCTACGTGTCTACACGGCATCATAACTCTGAAGATCACAATACAAATATTTATAAGGGAATCATTGGGGACTTAATTTTTGTTTTTGTTTCAGTTTATCACATACATACAAGGTGAGATTTTTCGGAGGATATTTAATCATTGATAAATATCTATAGCCTATTTCACGATATGAATTATGCGTATTTATGATCCAAGTAGCAATTTTTATATTTGTACATAGCACTGTTTCACATCGATAAGCTATTTTCACTTATATTCATTTCCCTATATATTTATTTTATATTCCTTCTTTCGTTTAAACTTCTTCAATAATGTTTTAAAAAATCTATAGATATAAGTAATTTGTGTACAGATTTTTTCGATTCGCACCTTATTGTACTACATTACAGCTATTATGAAACAAATATAATCGGAATTAGCCTATAGTGAATCGTGCGGGATCCCCGATGATGGGAGCAGCAAGCACCTCTAAAACATCGATAAACTTCTACCTGACCAAGCGGCATTTCAATCCAGAAGACAGCCATCTTTATATTCGCCTCCGTGACATCCTCTAATCCCACCTATTTCTGTTTGTGCAGGTGCAGTGGGCATCCAGATTAAGGACCTCCGGGTGCCATCTGTTGTCCGGAACAACTCGGGATCGGCCGCGCTACTTGACTGCGATTACACGTTGAAGCCGGAAGAACTCGCCGCCCACTCGTACGCGGGTCTGGTGGTAAAGTGGTACTTCAACAGCAGTCCCAGCCCGGTGTACCAGTGGATCCCGGGACAGAAGCCGCAGGACCTGGGCATCCTAAAGGGCAAGCTGGACTTGAAGCACCGCTCCTCAGACCACGGAGCCACCATGTACCGGGCTCTGTACATACGAAACCCCACGACGGAACTCTCCGGCGAGTACAAGTGCCTCGTGTCGACCTTCGACGACGAGGACTTCATGACCAAGAAGATGGTCGTCTTTGGTGAGTGAAAGCAGATGTAATGTTTCAATTTAATAATCTTCATACAAGCGTGGCATATTGAAAGAAGGCCTTTTCTTGGAAATAAACGAAGCATCTCTTAAACTTGTAGGGTTTTTTTGTGGATTGCTTTATCAAACCGATTAGAAGCGGTGGAATTTCTGTTGTATCTTGCTGTGGACTTGTGTGGCTTTTATGACAACGGCCTTAGTACGGAAATATTATTTCGAAAGAATCGGAAATGCTTGATATAATAGCTGCGATGGAACACGGAATTTCAGTCTTAACATTTTGAAGTTATATTGCAAGTCTTCCGATGAATGTTTTAACACATTTGATCACAACACAAAGACGTCGGCTTTTCACCATTAAGTGTTCCTTTATGTTTCATTTGCAATTCATCTCCTCTTACTTCTTTTCCTTCCATGCTTTCCAGCTGCGTTTGTCATTTGTTTGAAAGTCGATTAGCTTGAACTCAAGCTACGGTTTCACAAGCTGTCCGCAGGCTTGCCACTTCATAAAGTCTGCACCACGCCCCGCGTTCCACCTTTCATTGTGGTGACGAAAGTGCACTCTGTCTTTTGGTTGCCACTGTATCATGTGGTTGGACTATTGCACAGAGGTGGCCAGAAGCCGCGATCGGATGATATAGAAGGCATAACAAAAGAGTAGAGGTTCAGTATGGAAATATTTAAATCATGCACGAAAATGGCAATTTTATCATTACAAATGTTATAGAATTACAATAGCCGTTATTGCCAACTTGGGTGCTTCAAGGCCACAGATTGAATTTTCCTCTTTTAACGTTTCCCGCCACATGCCTATGCCATGATAAAATTTGCGAGATAGTTATGGTAATGTTCCTTCATCAACAAATTTCGCATGGCGGATCTTGGAATCTTGGAATTTGCAGACCTTTTCCTAAAGGATTTTCAGGTCGTTCCATGAACTGACTGCTCCAAATAAGACTGACATTCGCATTTGCATATTTCTGTGGTCTTCCACTTCGTTTCGCATCTAACACAGAACCGGCTAGGCATTTCTTTTCTTCAATTTACGTAAATTAACTTCAGTCGGAGCTGCTTTATTAAAGCACAAGGCAAAGTGCGTTCTTATTTCGTCTACTCTCAGTGAAACAAATGACGCTATGGATCATGGCAACAAGATGTTACACGAAAGAATCGTATTAATCCCTTCCGAGGAATTTAGTGTAGTGACTGTGAGCTTGTAGATATGTTGAACCAACAGCCACATAACAACACAAAGAAATGTGTGTAAGCTACAGTGCGTAGTTTAAGCGTCACGAATGTAAAAATCGGTCTTGGGATATGACCATGAACCAGTTCCATCCACTTTTTATCTTCCTGAAATGAGTAATTATTCTGTGTTTTCGTTTCCGTCCCCATCTTAAAGTTGGACTTCATTCAACGGATCTCCTCACCAAAAGTCTGTATGTACATCTGTCCGTCCACCGTAGTAGAAAAATTTCCAGACCATCGTAGCCTTCTAGATTTAACTTCCTTATAATGTATCTCTTGTTAAATAAACTAAATTATTAAGTTTTCATTCTTTTGTTCAAACATTATGAGCATATAATTATTAAGGACAAATTACGTTGTCCTATGTTGTATGATAGAATTTTCAGAGATGATTACTATAGCCGCTCAGTGATAGGAGCTTGGCTCCTCGGTAGACACTCGAATCTCTCAGGGGTGTTAACGGCATTTAACTACCGACAACTAGAAGTTGCCGCTATTGCTGAATATTTTACACTATTTATTTACTTGAGAACAATTGATATTACTTGACTCTAGCCGCAAGAAAATGATTCCAGAATTGTACTGGACTTGAATGTTTACGTATGAGCATGTTCAAAGTTTGTTGTAGAATGCCAAACCGACGCTCTGCTGGAAGCGTCATGTCCCTGATTCGAAACATACAAACCAGTGACGTCTTCACTTGCATACAGCTCTTGCGTCTAATTGGATCTTTCATATTTCTTCACTCACACCTTACAAAGCATTGCCCGGTAACAATCGTCTGCTGAGTGACAATGAACCATGAAGTCCAAACTGACTTTCCACATATTTAAGCCATAAATGTCAGTGACACATGCGACTATAACCAATTCACGACAACTTATTACCCATTAGTGTAAAAACCAAGACTTCAGGGAACTGAAGGTCCTCGCACGTCTGTGTCTTAAACACTTATGTAGTTGCCATGAAAAAGTTAAAATTTTGAAAAGGAAAGTAAAACAAATCAGATTAATAAAATAATAAGAAAATAAATAGTATAATTAAATTACCTCAGAAGAAGATGTGATTTGGACCGTTGCATTACTGTCTCCATCTTCAGGGTAATGTAGGCAGTAAGCACATTTTAAAAGTCTTTCAGTTTCCGCTAGACTTCACGACACATCACCACGTTCAAGAAGACAAACTTCGTAGTAACCGTCGTTTGGGTTTGATGTGTAAAGTAAAACGTCAGATTTAACGACACATAACAACAAACAAAATTATTCTGATGTACAACATTTCCGAAAATAGATGGAAGAATAACTATTTTATAACTGAACAAAATAAATACGGAATTTTCGGATTTGATTTTGTTTAGATTCCGGATGCTGACAGGTGACTATTATTCGTAAGTCTCTATTTGATTATAGCGATGGTTTGTTCATTCGAGTATAATACGTTCGACATCGTTTATTGTCTGAGAAGCACTTAAAATACACGACGATTTAGTTATAACCGACGCTTTGTATTCTGGAGGTTCAGGGTTCAAATATTGGTCTGGACACCTTATACTGTGCCCATTTGTAGTTGACATAACATCATTAAATAAGTGAGAAAGTATTATAATTACATTATTAGTATACAGAGCAGACTGAATTTATGATTAATAGGATAATTAACGATTAATAATCAATCAAATTAATGAAGTAGTTTATTATTCTTTTCTAAATGAACATTAAAATTCTTGCGATGACTGCAATTTATAATGAAGATAGTGATTAACATTTGGAAATATTTTATTGAAAGGCTAGTATAAGAATGTCAGTTTCCCTTATCATAAATATTTTTATTTATGAATAATTCCAGGTAATAAATTTCTACGCCGTACCTTAATAATTTATAGGTTTTCTTGTAAGTAGTATTTCAGATAGTTAATTCTTTCTCGGTGCTATAGGATTAATAATTTTTTAAAAATGGGATACTTTGTCGCAGTTAAAAGTAAGTCAGTCAGTAAATCAGAAGTTTCTGAGGTGTCAGATCATTGGCGAATTGTATGATCGAGTAACTAGTAACAGCATGCAAAAGTTTTAGAGTCTTATTGGAACATAATTTTCTCTAAGATTTATGGTAAAATTACACTTTTTGGCATAGTTTCAGAATTTGATTTAAATGATGGTACTTGTACGTCTTAAGTTTTTCTTCGTATTTAACAATTTAATGTCTGTTCTTCCTTCAAACTTCCTTTGTGGTTTATCATTAGTCCTCCTTGCGTCATGTAAAAGGGTTCTACAGCTAAGGCGTTAGTTAACCGGAAAGAAACAGTGCGTTCTAAGCACGATGTGCAAGAAATTAATGCATGTAGAAATGATTATGTGTGTCTGTCCATCCAGCTTTGTGCATAATTCAACTCGAGAATCGCTGGATGGATTTGGGCGAAATTTAGCATGAGCGTTATTCCATTGAAGCATACAGTAAACCAGTACTTACTAATTTCGTATAATTTATAATTTCAACATGGCAGACGAGCGAACTTTTGAGGTGATATCTACCCTGACTTCACTTAATATTGGGTCATACAGTGATAAGGTACACAAGTTTGGTGTAATAACTCTGTGTATAATATTTGTTGTACTCATGAAACAATAAGAGATTCGATTCTACTCAGCCACTTTATGGATAGGAGTCCATTAAGCTACCCCAGAAGTAATTTGTAATTTGTGATATACCTGTTAATTTACAGTACTTAAAATACATTAAATGCATGCTTTGTAAGGTTTGAAATTAAAGTAAGATAACTGAAGTAATTTTTATGAACAATTTTTCTTTAAAAATAACTCATTAAAGACATTTTAATATGTTTTGTAGGCTATACTTATTGATCGGTTTTAGTACAAAGTCAAGGTCCTCTGAATTTATTCTGGTCCCGCGAGTTTCTGATAAACAATTGTATTAGCGGTGAAGAACGAAAATAACATTTGAAACACACGTAACGCATTTTACAGTAAAGGCTCGTTTTCGTGTGGCATTTAAAGTCTCGATATTTGCGTCTACTGACTAGTCTAAACGGCGCCAGAACCCAGAAGAACTACATTATTATAATAACCTCATTTAAATCCTCATCTCATCTAGATCAATTAATTTTTAACCAATAAATATTTTATTAGCGTTTCAGACAAAACGTTAGGATAGACAAACAGTAATTATCATAATTTTGACGGCCTTATTTTGAGTACTGGATACTGGGAACGACACGTTTTTCGAGTGCCTGAGCACTGCAGGTCCCAACTCTTAATTGGCTTTGATCTATAGACATTCGGTAGGACTCCTTGGACGAGGGATCGGCCCGTCGCAAGGCCTCTGCCTGTACACAGGACAGCACAACACAGAAAAACGCGGACAAACATCCATGGCTTGAGTGGGATTCGAACCCACGGTCCCAGTGACCAAGCGGCACAAGGCCCACGATTTCTGAGTACTGAGTAGTGTAATATCAATTTGCTATGCTTTGAAAGTGTTAACCTGTAACATGAGATCAAATCTTTTTTTTTTACGTCGCTGGTATTGTCGGTATAAAATTATCTATATACATTTTCGAATACTGCAATCAATAATTCGTGTCACCCCAAAAAGGAAAGTTTTTAATTAAAACACAGCCAAGTGGAAAAAATTGAGCTTATCAGTAGGCAGATACCCGCAGTCTGTTTGATTCTAATTGGGCCGAGGTAAATTGGTTAGACATAATGAGGTTGATTTCAAATTGAAAAG